GTGGCTCATAGTAATCCATTTTGATTGCCTCCTTACTTTAAAATCAATCATTTTCCTCCTCTGCATTGTTTCCCCGAAGCCTGCAAAATATCAGGAAACTTCTTAAAATATTGGAAAGCATGGTCTGAGGACAAGGTTGCCACAGCAACTGCCCAGTGTTTTTTGAGATGTATTCCTGCATCTTTCAAAACAATCACGAATATCATAAACTGCTGAGGCATTTGCAGCAAACAAAGCAAGGCTGTAGAAAAAGAGAATAGAAAAGAGCACCGAGGAGTGGGTTGTTGTAAAGGTGAGATGTGTCAGGCTTAGGGAAAAAGCGGCAGGCATTTACACTTCATGTTAAATGCCCTAAGCATCTGGAATGCCGTGCAAGCGTATGGAGTGTTTCGACACTTGACAGTATCTGACATGACAGTGGATAATGTCACTTGGCGTGTGATGCAACTCCATGATCCACTCAGGAGGGTGACATGTTATTCCTTCCTGAAGGGAAATATTTTCAGACATAGGAGGCTGAAGTTAGCCACCTCCCTTCTGCTATGCTAAATAGATTTCTTCCTGGGATGCAAGATGCCTGTCAAAGAGCGTAACTTGTCAGCCAGAAGTGGTCAACTTTCTCATGGGTTTGGGATTGGTGTCAGTACGGACTAGTGAACAGAGGGGCTGCACTGCGGGGTCAGGAGATCCAGTGCATCCATTCCCCTCTTAACCTTGGTTTTCCTATCTGCTAAACACAATTAATATTGTTATGTTATCAGTGCGTATAATCCTTGGGTCATCTGTTTCGAAAGACAGACAATCAGTACCATATGGTTCTATTACACTGCAGTTAATACAGGAGAAAATACACCTGTGAGCTATCTGAGGGCTTTTTTTTTTTTTAAGGAATAGAACTTTAAAGAGTTGCAGGCTATCAGATGTGTTGGTACTGGATGTAGTATCTTCTTTTCTGAGACAGCTGATGTCTGCATGTGAAAAGCTGTAGGAAAGAGTCAGACATGATTACCTATTGAACTTTGCTTGGGAAGGGGCCAAAGTGAGCAGTTCGTGTTTCAAAGAGTGCTGCGTGCCCATTTGCAGTAGTCGAAATGGAGTGGTTTGTGGCCTGATGCAATACTGGCACTTCAAACACGTACCCTACCACTTTTCCAAACGTTACAGCATTTGGGAGAATAGATTCTGCTCTGGGACTTTCGAATTTCCGTTTTGAATGTCTGTGTACGTGTGGGAGATTTTACCTCCGTATGATCTCATGTATTCTGTGCATACGTTGTACAAAAGTTGCAAATATAAAACGTAGATGGTAAGTGTTGTATTATTGCTTTTGTTGCAAAGCTGGTGTTACATGGAGTTTTAAGAGGTTCAGTCCAGCCCTCTTTTTCCTCCTGTGTTTGACTAATATGCTCTTATGCCTCTTTTGGAGGCAGAAATGTGTCTTCGTTAAAAGCAGACAGACTAGAGTTGGGAAGGGATGTGGCCCACTTGTCCCAAACGCTCTGCTTGGGGAGGAAACTTGGGGTAGTTTTAGCAGCAGCTCAGATTCGTTTGAACACCATCCCAAGCCTCACATGATTTTAGTGTTATGAAAGCCAAGCAGGTTATTGTTTTAAGGTATAAGATGTCCCTAAGGGCTTTGCTCGCTCAACTGTACAGAGGAATTAAATGCTCTCAGGCGGTGCAACAACCTCATTGCGTCCAGAGTTGCCAGGCGAGGCAGTCATTGCTGGTAAATGGGCCCATATTACAGTGACATTAGCATTTTAATGCAACTGAAGAGGAGGTAGATTGACTGTAATTTAGTATCTAGTTGCATGGCCTTGTGCAGGTCCCCTCATCGCTGCTCCACAGGGGCTGATTATAGTTACACAGTGCACTTTGGAATCTAATTGGATTTACACGCAGTAAGGTAGTCGTGTCACAGCAATGACTCCGCTATGCCAGCGCTATGAAATTCCAGTGCAATTAGTTATTTATGTAGGAGAAATAGTTATAGGATAATGCATGGGGCTGACAGCTTGTGCCAAGCTCCAGTTCAGGAGCAGCAAATGTTTTACTTTTTTTTTCTGAAGCCATTGCAAGGGAATGATATTAATCTGATCCTGTTTCCACAGAGAAGCTCCTCCTCACCCTTCACCATAACAGCACTGACCTGTTGCAGAGATCCAGCAGGATCTGACTTCTGTCTTCAGCTTCTCCTTTGGCTGAACATATGGGCTGGCATGTGTTTCGATTTCTCTCGATCCTGCAAATGTGGTGAACAAAGGGGACTGGCAGTAGCTAGAGGCATTTGTGAAGCAGGACACCTATAAGACTTTCATCTGGTGGCCCTCCTGCGCTCGCTAACATGCAGGAGACTGGTTTTCTCCCAAGGACAGCCCTTGCTTCTCCGCCTTGCACCCTCCGTTCATTTCTTGTTTCACTTGCTACCCGTTGACTATACCATCCTCTTTTTGCCCCCTCCCTCTTTGCTCTGGCTCTCCAACTGTCTTTCTGGCTACATGAGATCAGCAGGAGTCATAAGTTTAGCTGTTTTTCCTTCATCAAAGCCTGGTCCTCACAAAGAGCTGCTCTAAAAGCAGCGATGTGAAGAGAAGCCAATGCTCAGCAAGGAGACTTGCTGTGGTGGCTGCGAGATGCGCGAGGAGGCAGGACAACGTGCCAAACGCAGCTGCTCAGCCAGCTGAGGAACCATGGCTCGCACGCGTGCAGCCCCAAGGAAGGAGCCTTGGCCTCAGCCATTTCTCCAGCTTCCACTGTGTTTCCCCAGCGACTGTAATTAAAGGCATCAGCTTGCTCCAGTCGCAATTAGGCATGGTGGTTTTGCACCTTCTGCAATTCTCCCTAATGACAAAATCGTAGCTATTAACCGAAGAGAGTCTGTTTGGCAGGGACTTCCTCCCCTTTAGGGCCATAGAGTAAGATGGAGTATTTCTATTGTTTGGCACCAAACACACTCGTTCATCCCTTCTGACACAGCACCTGCTGGTACCTACTGAAGCATTTAAGCTCTTCCTCTCTGCGGTGCTGTAATTTCTTTAAAATATTGTGACTTAAGAGGAATAAAAAAATAAAATTCCTCTCCCACGCAGACCTTTGAGGGCTTGTAGGGATGTAATTATATGCACACACAGTAGGAGCAGGAATCCCATCATTCTGGTTATTTTTCTAATGATAGGTTTATATAGCATAGTGTCATCTCTGCTTTAAAGTTAGAGCCATTTTCTCCTGGCAGCCACTATCCCAGGATAGTGGCATCACAGGATAGGACAACCGAAGAAATTGTCTCTCAGTTGCACATGTAAAACACAGGGTGAAGTGTCCCCACACACAAAAGAAGAAGATAAAAAGATAAGGGCGAACACTGGGCTCTGACTGTCAAATAGGCGCTCTCTACTGTGGGGCAGTGACACTGTCCCTTGTCCTAGCTGTAGACTCTCCCAGCCACTCTCTGCAGGTTCCTGAGCGTGCTGCAACCATCTCCCAGCCGGTCATGTAGCACCCCCGTTGAACTTCCACACTGGTGGTAAAGCTGTACTGATCTGGGGCAGCCTTCATACCTGGCATTGTAAAGTGGGGCAATTCAGCCACTGCGCGGCAGATGCCTTCAGTACTTCGCAGCAGAGACGGGTCGATTGGCTGTAAATATTTCTGCCCTCCAGGTTTCAAAAGGGAAACCATCCCTGCTCATCATTCAGAAGTGTACGTCCACAGTGACAGAGGAAGGACATTAAATGTGAGGGATTAATGCAAAACAAAAAGTCTATGAATATTCATTATATGTTTTATATTGTAATAGTTTCAGCCACCTTGAAACTCTTTGTTTGCTTCCTGCCAACAGCAAACGATAGACTTTTACTCACAGAAGTCGTAATGGGAGGCAATTTTCAAAGGCACGTTCGCAAATGTTTGTGGGAAACAGATGTTAAATGCACCCCCTCCAGAAATCAGGATGAAATGCTGGCAGTGAGAGAGCAGGGAGAGACCCCAGTGACTTATCTGATCTCTCACAGGGAAGCAGCGGCTTCAGCAAAGCTGCGAGTATTCCAAAATGATTTGCGAAGGATGAGTGAGTGAGTTACACAACCCCCATGTGAATATTGGACCCTTATGGCACAGCGCGCTGTTTGAATCGTTCGAGGTTGCCCCTTCCCCGGCAGTGTGGGGTTTGGGGCTGTGTCGGACGGGTGGAAAAAACAGCCTGGGAGGGTGCCCTGGGAAAGCAGCAGTCAAACAAGCACACTCTGCTCGTTGGTCTGTGGTTTCACCTCACCTTTGCCTAGCCAAAGACTGTCATTAGCGTTGTGCAGGCAGAAATTAAAATTTACTGAGAAAATTGTAATCGTTAGCTCAAGGGCAGTGGCGGTCTGCACCCGGGTCCCTCTGCCGGCACCGGTGTATCTAATGCCTTTGGGCGGGCAGCGCGGTGGCTTCGCCATTCCTCTGTGTTGCTGCTTCCCAGGCAGTGACAATGAGGCGGAGCAAATAGTTTGCTCAACTTGGCGTGAGCGCTGGCTGGAAGACCGAGGGGTATCGCCCAGCGTCTCAGGCCGTTGCTCCTAATGGCTGGGCTGGGCTTCCCAAAGATGCGTTCCATCTCCCTTCCTCTGCCTTTTCCATTTTCCCGGTAAATGGGCTGTAAAGTCACAGCAGATTAAAGTTTGTCTAAACCTCCCATAAAATATTGAAGGTGCAGCTGGTATTAATCTAGTCCTGTTGTGGTATGAGGTGCATGTGTAATGGGACTATAGATTTACATGTGGTCTGTGGGCATTTAAAATACCCCAAAGGTTGTTAAAGATATTCTGAGGAACTGGATCCCTCACTGGGTATTAAAAGCTCTTCATTAGTGCTAATGTACACTAAATTAAGGTGGCAATTAGACTGAGCATATTCATCAGGATGGTGTATTTTAATAAATTGTGTATTTAACATGATTGCATTTTATTGACTTCTGCAGTAATTGCATATTTTTCTCTTTACAGGACAAGCTTGGCTAGAAAGAGATACATGGGATACACAGGCAATTAAAGACTAGGATAGACACTGTGCTTCAAGCCCCAAGATTTGTGAAGGTGAGTCTTGTTTATGGCTGTTTCTTTCTGCGTGCCAGGTGCTTTCTCTGTATCTCTGTCAAGGCTGGTTAGGTGTAGCTGTGGCGTGCAGGAGAGGGGTAAGAAATAAACGCCTCGTCTGCCATCTTACCGCCTGTGAGGTGGTACTGCAGCAAGTCACTGCCCTTTGGTTTCCTAATTAAACTGCCCCTATCTCTGTTCTATGTAGAGGAGCAAACTGTGTGGAAATAATACTCTGAGAGGGTTTTCTGGAAGGCACTACCTGTTAGATATGCTCTCTTAGCAGACCCCACCACTTTGGTTTAAAGGAGTTGGATACTGCTTCCAGATAGCAAACACAGAAATCCTCTTGGGACAGGGTCATTCTTTGAAGGAAGGCAAGCGTGCTGAGCCAGGTCTCCATACCTGCAAGCAAAAGTGTGGGCTGCCATGTTGCTGGGGAGAGGATGCAACAGAGGGATGCCAAGTTGTGGTGGTCCTTCACCACTGGTGCGGCTTTGAGCTTCAAGGACATTTCTAGTGACACCTCAGCTGGGCAACCTCTAGAAACCGGTGCACTGACTTGGAAGAGAATCTGGTCCACATTTTCTGTCCAGCAGTGGTTCTGGAGAGCTTCAAAAATGTCTTCCAATTTTACTTGTCTGCATTGTGCATGAAAGTAGGTGTGGGTTAGCACCATTTGCTCTTCAAGACATTAGCTAATATTTTGTAGGAGGTACTGCAGAACTGGTTCTTAGGCTTTAAAGGAAGCAACGGTCAGTCCAGTCGACAAGGTCTTCATGCATGTTGATGGCAAAGAGATATTTATTTGAGAAGAATATACATGGACAATGTGATAGAAGTGACTGAAAAAGTGGTTTGCACGAGGGTTGGCCAAGGTAACCTCTAGATGTCTCTTCCAATCTTGGTTATTCTGTGATTTCTACTAAGTATTCGAGATAGGGAGACTGTGATGATCCATCAGGCAAGCACACAAGGTCTGAATTTTATTTAGTGAAATACAAATAGACTGCAGAGGTATATTAGGGTTTGGGATTGCATGGTGGGAATGGTAGGCAAGGAAAATGGTTCACACACTTATTATCAGTGGTATGATATGGAAGATGCGAGGATTGAGACTGGTGAAGATAAGGTGCTCCTGAGAGTTCTGATAGACTGTCACATCCGAGGGATGCTCTTGTTCCTTTCACGATAAGGTAACTTGGGTACACCTTGGATAGCTGTTTTGAAAAATCTTTTCACAAGGAGGGTAGTCAAACACTGGAAGAGGTGCCCAGGAAGACTAGGGAATTGCAGTCCTTGGGGATATTCAAAACTTAACTAATGTGACCCTGAGCAACCTGTTCTAACTTTGAAGTTGGATCAAACTTTGGAATTGGCCCAGATTGGAGGCAGTGGGTGTTTGTATTCAGTGACATCCAGAGGTACTGTCCAACCTAAGTTTTTCAGTGATTCTGTCTCCAAGGCAAAGGTAAAGGAGCAACTGAAGCGAAACCACAGGTTTCAGCCCAGTGTGAAAGGGATGTGGGGGTAGAGGGAAAAGTCAGTGGTAGCAAAGAGAAACTTGGAAGTAGTTTTTGGGGGTGTGGTTGAGCAGCTGCCTTTAGATATGTGAAGTTCAAGGTAGATGCAAGGCGTATAAAAGCAAATGTCAGAAGGAAGGAAATAAATGGTGGCTGGAGAACAAAAAAATGCATTGCCTTGAAAAACTGGACTTTATTCCTAACTGATTACAGCAGCTGGGGTGCGTTTCCTGGCTGCACTGCTGGGGATTTTGAGCCTCCCCATCACTTTGCAAGATAAAATTCATAGGGGGACGGGGAGAAATGTAGAATAATCTGGCTAAGAAAAAGCTGAACATTTATAGCTACATTTCAGACAAAAACAAATGCTTCTCATATGTCTCACAGGTCTGAGATGGGACAAGCCAGGGAGAGCATCTGTCAGCCGCTGTCTTCTGTAGTTCTGACTGTTAATGTTTGCTTAGCATTAAATGTCTCCTGCAGTGGAGAACTTAATCTGTCACAAATTTGGGGCCTGGAGGAGGGGAGAGAAGATATTTTTAAAAGGGAGATTAAGACATGTGTGTTCAGTTTTTATCACACTTGCATCAGTGTGTAGTAGGAGTAGCTTAGAAAATTTGTCGTTTGTGTGTATGGCTTAAAAAGAAAAGTGGAAGGAAAAAGCAGCTCTGTGGGTCAGGATTGTCCTTTCATGTCAGTTATTTTCTCCATGGAGCCTGTCATCAGGGTCTTCAGGTACCTTTAGCTAATTAGTAAAGCAGCAGTTGGCACAAATGGTTTCATAATTGCGTTATTTGTAAGTAACATTATTTGCATTTTGCTTGCATTGTTTGTAAATAGCATTAGTTATATACTCTTAAAAGTCTCGAGCACTCCTGCATATATGAACTAGATGGTAATATATTTCATATACGCTGGAGTGCTTGAACTCTGACATGAAACAGTTTAAGGGCTACGTAAGAGGTCAGATTGTAGTTTTGGTTGATTTGCCCTATTTTAATCAGTGCGATCACAAGATCCAAATGGTGATCTTGCGTGTGCTGCTTGGGAATCTGGGTACCCAGCAGAAACTGGAAAGGGTGTGTTACGCTGGTATGTGCGAGTCTCTCCAAGGTCTAAGTACCGGCACTGAAACAGTTCCTCAGAGCTCCTGTTTCTCGGATCAGATCAGTGGGTTGGCATTTTTTGGAAGTTTTCACGGAGCTCTTACAATGTGGAAGCTCTGACATGCTCTGTTCTTGGCTTTGCCAGCCCAGACCTTGCACTGTTGCCACTGACTTCCATTTGCACATCCTGAGTTGAAGGACCGTGGGGTTTGTAAGCCCCTCTGGGTGTGTTCCTGCCTTGAAGCACGGCACAATTACTAGGGTTGCACTTAGTTGTTGCTTTGCTATGTGAAGCATGGTGGGTTTAGAAATTACAAATCTGAGCCCAGCACCACCACTGGGGACAATTTCTTGCCCAAGCGAACAAGTGAGACCTCACTTGTGAAAGCTGAGTGTGGATGTGTTCGTGCTGCTCCCAGGTAACTGTGGCTGTGTGGCCCTGCCAGTGACATTTTCAGGACCCGATTGCTCAACGGATTTAGAGTTTCCCTTCCGTGCTCACTCCTAGAAAACATTTTAATGTACTGAGTGGATGCATGGGCAATGCAAGGAATCATAGCTTAGGTTTGTCTTTGAAAAGAGAAGGAGGCCCATACTCAGCTCATGCAAACCAGAGAGGTTCGAAGGGAGCCTTCTCATCTTGCAGAGGAAGTGGACCCAGACACGGAAAGTAAAGTAAGGTGGCAATGTGATTTATCAACTCTACCAAGCGGCGAGACAGCGTTAGACTCAGGAACTGCTGCCTCTTAGACTGCAGGCAGTGTTTTTCATATGGGTGCCTCTGCAGCGAGATGAACACGAATGATGTGAAGTGGCACAATACGGCTAAACTGGTTTGCTTTTTATTCCTTTTTTTGCCTAAGGCTACTATGATATGGATCATGTGGGTGGGTGCTCAAGGCAGCAGGAGTTAGAAGTTTCTCAGATGACTTTCAGACTTTGACTAATATGTTGAGATTTAGGCATCCTTTGTTTCATTGCAGCGTAACTTTTTTGTGTGGTGATGGGAACACCTGGGTGCCTCTAATTCTGAGGCTCTTGAAGTTCCAGTATCCTATTTGTATTTTCATACCCCTCTCTACTGTAGTGTCCAAGCTCATGGGTTAGTGGAGCTGAAGGTTCACCTTTCCCATGAAACTGAAGAGTTCCTTTCCCATGAAATGGAAGAGTTCCCTTCCCAGCTCCTTACCCTTCCAGACTTCAAGATCTCTGCTCTCTGTGAGATTTGCAGACATGGCTTTAAACACTGTTAGGAAGCTGTGGGCATCTCCTCCAGGCCCATGTCAGAGATTTGTGCCCCGCTGCGTCTCCACCAGTCACAGTCTTGGCTTTGAGTCCCTCTGGGCAGAACAACTGCCCTATATCTATATCAGAGGTATAAGAAAATAAACTTTGTAAAGAAAAATACTGCCCTTGTTCTCAGGTTCGGATTCAGGTTTGTCTTTCTCCAGAAGCGAGCTGGACTGTAAGACTGGCTTTGTGGATCTGCTCGGGATTCCTCTGGCAAAGGGGGTTCCCGTGGCGGTACCCAGCCAGCAGAGGCATGCTGCCGTCCTGCCCCGGGCAAGCAAAGGTGCGGAGGGAAAGCAGCTGCATGTCCAGATGATCTTCTACATCATGCCATTTGTGTCTCTGCCTGTTTTGCCAGTAGGGAGGAACTGATTTGATTTTTAAACGGAGTCAAAGAAGTACAGCAAACACACGCACTGTACGATATGAATCTGGCTGTTTACCTCAGGCAGCCCCTTGCTGGGAGCGCTGCCTGCAGTGGGTTTTCTCAGCCCTTTAGCTAAAGCAGAGTAGTTCCCATGGTCACAGAGGGAAGCATCCCGCAAGGCTCTACAGCACTCCTAAATTTTGTGGATTAACAAAAACAATGAAGGAGTGAGTTTTATTTCTGGTCTGGTGAAAACCTTAGATAATTTCTGGGTTTTTTTTATTTTCTTTTAAGTGAATTGAATGTACTTTGCTAACGTTGGATATCATTGGATGGAGGTCTATTTTGGGAATGGCATCCACAGGAAAGAGATGGGTTAAGAAGCCTGTGAGCTTTGAGAAGGCTTCTCTAGGGAGTTAAGCAAACTTGTGTTGGAATATGTATGCGTCCCTCTGTGCACACTGCCATGAATGCATTATCTTCCGTTTCAGTGAAAATTTTACTATTTTGTGTATTTATTTGTCTGTCCCTCTAGGGTACTTGGTGATATAATTGCATATGGGGAGACACAGTCACTTCATTAAACAGCAAGCTTTTTGGGGCAGAAACTTTCTTCCAATGTAGCCTCACTGGCTCGAGATTTATAGCTGCTCTTCCAATAGAATTACTATCTTCAGTAGTTTGCTGTCTAATTCAGACATGGAGTTTCAAAACTGGTTCAGATGCTTTTGCATTTTTTCCTGGGATTAAAAGCTTACCGACTTTGATCCAGGGGCTCTGCCTGCAAAAGACCTGTGCAGGGTGAGGTGTAGACCACTGGGACTTTGGTGGCACAGTAACATGTCATACTACATGACAAGCAGGTGTTGGGCCCCAGGCTGAGTAACTGTGTGAGGACAACCTCCTCAGGCCCTCCCATGTCCACACACTGCAGTCATTCCCAGCCCAGCTCCTCCAAATGTTTCCCTGAAAATACTGTCCTTGTTTATACGGCATTCGTTCTGTGGAGGAAACTTGTATGGAGCTAACTCTCCGGAAATACATGCTTGTGAACCTTTCAAATATGGCTTTTTTTGTCATGAAGTAGGCAGATATGTTCAGTGCTTCTTAGGCTTGACAGGCTTTAGGGACTGGAGGGAAAAAAAATTCATGTGCAGAGGGATATTTTTCCCCACATCTCCCTCTGCCAGCAAAGCCAGACCTTTCCTCTCCTGCAACCTTCCTCTTCACGTCTGCGTTCTCCTTTAGACTTGCATGAGTGCAGAGACTCAGCAGCGATCATTATCTCTTACTAACCTGTGCTATGTTGCCTTCTTCAGGTAAGAAACGAGCCCTTCTGTATAAAGAACTACACAGGATCTGGGGGGAATACAAATGGGCAGTAGGATTGTGTCACTCCGTTAAAAAGTGAGTGTGCTGAGGAGGTGCTTGTGTTTTGCAGGAAGAATTGCGTCAAGGAGCCTTAAGACCATGGAGGGAGACTGCCTGAGCTGCATGAAGTACCTAATGTTTCTTTTCAATTTCTTTATATTTGTAAGTATTTAGAATCCACTTCCTCTCTTAAATCCTCCTGTTTCCAGCACTCTGCTGCTCCCCAGCAGGATAGGCTGTCGTTTGGTCAAGCTGCCATCGTACAGAATATCCCCTTGGCGTTGCACTAGCAATCACTGAGGGTTTTGCAGCGTCCAAAGATGCTCAGACATTCAGAAAGCCAGCGCAGTGGTCATTGTTGTCTGAGATATTCCTGTCCTTGGACAAGGGACACCAGAGGGAAAGCTGTAACTAGTAGCGTACATGGCCTATCTTTGAATGGCAGAAGAAATTGTTTTCTAGTCCTGGGTGCCCTGCTGAGGTTTTCAGTAGGAAACACAGACATTTTCCTACCAAACGTAGAGTCATTCTTGGTGACCCTGTTCCTCTTCTCTGTGATGTGAAGGGTGGGAGCGCCCAGCCATCCGGGACTCTGTGGTGGGGAGGGGTTCCTGTGTGTCCCTTCACTGGGCTGTCCCCTGCAGATGTGGCAGCAGCTCAAGAGTCGGTCTTTCAGCATTAGGAAGGGAATAAACTTTAGAGTGATGTGTCAAGGAAGAAAGGTGCTTTTGCTGCAAATGTTTCACTTAGTGAGCAAGAGACATGAAGAGTAGCATGTCAGCAGTCACCCGCTTGGCAGCGAATATATGCCACAAAGAAACACAAATTCTCCAGGTGAACACTTGATCAAAAGATAGAAAGGACTCCACTTTTCTTGCAGCACTTGTTTTATGTTGACCCGTCTCCCTCTTTCTCCTCTCCTTGTGCCGTGACAGCTGGGAGGAGCATGCCTGCTCGGAGTTGGGATCTGGGTCATTGTGGATCCCACAGGTTTTCGAGAGATAGTGGCTGCCAACCCTCTGCTCTTCACGGGAGCGTACATCATGCTGGCTATGGGAGCGATGCTCTTCCTGTTGGGTTTCCTTGGCTGCTGCGGTGCCATCCGTGAGAACAAATGCCTCCTGCTTTTTGTAAGTGTCCTTGTGTTTTCTGTTCGCCTTTCAGTGTTTCCCAAGAATGGGATGCTGTGATAAGTGCATGAATGGGTGTCTGTTATTGTAGCCATTATTCCCTTATATAATAAGTAGGTTTACGGCACTTTTACATACAGCTAGAAATGCAGAGAATTTACTCCTTCCCTGTACCAGGTTTGAGCCCGATATATATGGAGTCTAGGAGTGTATTTTGACTTTGTTTCAAAATGGTCCTATTTTTTGTTTTGGTTTTGTTTTTTTTTTTTCTTTTATAAGGTGACCAAAAATGGTCCTCTTTTGTCACCCAAACCCCACAGCTCCACTTGTGGATTCATTCCTCACTAGTTCACAACAAAGCAGAGGGAACATGTAGCGCAGAGCATCTGTGAAATGGAGCCCCCTGTGTCAGCAGAGGTGCCCAGCTGAGAACTGCTTGGTGGCCTCGTGCTGCAGCTCTCAATAGCTGGTCACTCCCCTATGCAGCCTACTCTGCTCCTAAAATTAACCAGCTCTGTTATCCTTGGGCAATTTTCCCCCTGAGTTATAGGGTTAAATTTCAGCCCATGAGGTCATCAAGTACTATTTGCAAAGTGCTAGCCTCTAAAATAAAGTAATTTTTGACTTCCGCCGTAAGTTCTGATACTGCAGGGTTTCCAGCCATTATCTCTTACTGGAGGGCATTATTAGTTGTGTGTTGAAACACAAAGATCATTAGTTTTATTTTTCATTTTTGTCAAACTTGACCTTTTGTTTCTCCCTCTGGGTCTGTTGGGTTTTTTTGTTGTTTTTCTTGTTTTGGTTTGTTTTAAAAAATCTTGATCTTGCAGTGTTTTGTTATGATTATATCTTGCACAGCTGCTTCACAGTGCAAAAGAGGCTTATCTCTAACTTTAAACAGAACAGGAAAGTCCACTTTTCGTGACAATGAAACCATTTTTTCCTAGAGATGAGCCTGGCTCCACTGAGATGAATTCTCTCTGGCACTTGCCTCACCCACCCCTTGAATTCATAACCTGCTCGTAAGAGCCCTTTTTTGGAAGGCATTATGGGTTTGATTTCTAGTGACTTGCCTCAGAAGTAAATCAGAAAAACACATGCATTAGCTGCGAAGTCATGGAGATCTGCCCAGAGGAACCTAATAAAATGCAAAGGATCAGGCCCAATGAGCCTGAGGTTACTTCAAAGCCTGTCCCTGTCAGTTTAAGAAACTAAAAGTTATGTTTGATGAGAAGTATTGATTGTAAGTGAATGGGAGAGTCATATTTTCAGCTTGGATCACGTCTGCTGCATACAGATTGGGGACCTGGCTGGAGCAAGGGAGCGCTGGGCCAATCTTTCCTGATTTAATATCATAGAGTTACATCATGGTTTGAATGTTCCTCCTGGTGTTTTAGTTATACTCCAGTGCACTCAATTTTGTGGGCTGGAGGTAATGCTGTAGACTAGGAGAAACTCTAAAAGTAGTTACTGGATGAGGAATTAGTGTTCAGCTTTGATCAGATCTTCCAGGGCTTCTGGTATCAAAGTCAACTCTGCTAAACAACCTGCCATCTCAAGTCCAACAGCAGTGAAGTACTTGGATGAGTATCTGTGCTGATATCAAGTGAGAAGAGATATGTTTCTAATTTCTGCTTTTTTTGGGAGCCACACCAGCTGATGTTAAAAGGCATAAAGCATCTGTGAAACCAGAAGTCTGATAGGAGTAAGTTTTAGGTGTTGAAAAGGCAAACCCTTCATAAGAGTATGCCAGAGAGCCTGGGAACACCTTGCAAAACGTGGAGTGTTAGGCTTCGGGGGGTGGTACTTGGGGAAAAGTTGCTAGATCAAATCAAATCCACTTACAAAGTTGTTAAAGAATTGATGAGCCAGAGAGGTGCTTGAGTGAGATTTCAGAGTGATGCATAATGTATATCTGAAGCTTTTAGTCCAAATGTAAACGGAAGACAGAAAGGACAGGACAGATGCACAAATGCACGTTCTCTAGGTTCTGGCTTCTGTGTTTGTAAGGACTTTTATTTTGCATTAAGTAGCTTGTCTTTTGGTAAAAAAAATCACTGTGGAACCTAACATGTTGCATTAAGCACTGGGCTGTGAAGTGTTTCTAGGTTTCCCAGCGTTTGGACTTGGCTCACAAAAAGCAACAAACATTGGCCTGCAAATCAGGCATTGAATAACTTCTGGGTTGTCCTAAAGACTGTCTGACTGCAAAAGAATACCATAGAAATCAGAATCCAAAGTGCTGTTGGGCATACAGCATTTCACCATGGGACTGAATTCAGCTTTGCAACAAGAACAGTCAGTGTTAGCTTCATTTCATAGAATCATAGAATCATAGAACAGTTTAGGTTGGAAAGGACCTTGAAGATCATCGAGTTCCAACCCCCCTGCCATAGACCGGGACACCTCCCACTAGACCAGGTTGCCCAGGGCCACGTCCAGCCTGGTCTTGAACACCTCCAGGGATGGGGCCTCAACAACCTCTCTGGGCAACCTGTTCCAGTGCCTTACAACCCTCAAAGTAAAAAATTTCTTCCTAATGTTTAATCTAAACCTGCCCTCTTCCAGTTTATATCCATTCCCCCTCATCCTGTCACTACATGCCCCAGTAAAAAGTCCTTCCCCAGCTCTCCTGTAGGCTCCCTTTAGTTACGTGAAGGCAGCAATAAAGATCTGCTGGGAGCCTTCTCTTCTCCAGGCTGAACAGCCCCAACCAACTCTTTCAGCCTATTCAGCTATTTTCAGCCTATCATTTGGCTTAGTTTTGGGTGCAGACGTCCTGTTTTGCACTCTTGTAAAACAGATGCAGTAGCCTCTGAAACTTTTCAGCATGGAAATGTGGGTCCTTTGTGTTAAAGGCAGTTGCTGCTCTTTTTGGAACAGCATTGCTGAAACTGGAACAGTAGATGAGTTGTGGAAAAAGAAACACAAAACACTGAGTTGTGGAAATTTCTGATAAACCTGTAACCATCACCAGGAGCTGAGGCAGGATTTTTGACCAACGTGAGAGACGCCACTCCTCAGGATGTTCACCTTAGATGTGGGGGGTACCCATGTTCACATGTGGGTCTCAAGCATGAATTTGCATGTGAAGCTGCTGTGTCCCAGCCAAACCAGTTGGCTGTTTAGTGCTGTCATATATCAGTAATCAATTTGATTTTGGGAGGCAAAACACAATAAGCAGATTTTGACTCTCCTTAAAATGCAGAATAAGAGCAAGTTCTGAAACACTGATGATCCATCTTCTTTTTCTCATCAGCCCTAATGGTTGCTCATGTTTTTTTTCTACAGTAACTATTACAAATCTGTAATGCAAACTGCACAATGTAAGTGTAAATCAGTTTGGGAATGATAATGAAGCTTATCAGAGATAATCTGGGAATGGCTGCTTCCACTTCTGCAGAGACCTGTGCTGGAGCTTGGGTGAACATGTGTCTCCCAGTAATCAGTAAATGAAATGCAATTAGCAGGGTGACGGGATTAATCACTTGATCACCACCTTAGACCTCTTAGTGACTATGCTGAGATCCCTTGATGGATGATGATGTGAATTTGCAAAGCATCGTTCATTCTCATCACTTGTTCTTTGCCCTCCTGTGGTGAAATTAAAAACAAAACAGTCTCTGAGCAAGAAAAAAAAGAAGCCACTGCAGAAAACTCCAGCAGTAAGAATAAATTATAGACTTAACCAGTTCAGCAAAATCAAGCAACAGCATTCTTTTAGCAGCCAAAGTCCCTGCTCATCTGACTCTTCTTCTTTTGCCATTTGAGCCCAGGCTCCTTTTCTTTTGTTTCCATGCAGAAGCAGGAAGACAAATGGGAGGGGGTGGTGCGTGCACTTTTCCAGTGGGGAAAAATCACTTACAGCTCTGATAATTGACAACAAAACAACATTTTGCCCATTCCAAGCAGGTAGTTTGAATTCTGTCTCCATTACTGAAATGTACGGTGCACAACATTTCAGACTGTTTATAAACCATTGCTTGGGGATCACAATAGCACTTCTGGCCCCATCTGCTTGCCTTCTGTTTCAGAAACACCTTCAATAACCTTCTCACACAAAAACCCAAAACAAAACAAAACAAAACAAAAAAAACAACAAACCAAACCATCCAGACTTCTCTTATGTTTATTTCTACTTGTTGTTTCAACCACCTTCATGGTGACATGTACCACATGTTTATTACCCTCTGTGTGATGTGGTCTTACTGGGTTCTCTGTTCACTCCTGTTTTTCTCACATGGTGTGAAAACCTGAGTTCATTTCTAAACGTTCACTCAGTTTTGTAAAATGATCTTTGAGTCTGTGGGCTAATTCTTGAGATCCTCGAGTTTTAGAAAGGCTGACTCTCAAGTGGTCATTTCTCTTTATGGCTATAAGAACATAAAAAATGTCCACCTAGTCCAGACTTCTGGTTCCTCAAGCCCACTATTTTGTTTCCAAGAATGGAAACAAATGCCATTTCGGGAGAGGGTGTGAGCCTAGCCACTTTCTGCTCTGTTCCCATAGGAGTTCCTCAGAAAAACATTTGTTGTGTTAAGAATGTTGCAGAGCACATCCCTGCCCGTTCCTTCTGCTGTTGGTTATGGACTGAAGCAGCATCAAACTAGCATGAGGCATCAATGTAACTAAGAATCGGCCCCAAAGACAGGGCTGAGTTCTAAGCTCTTTGATGTCAGTGAGTGTTTTCCTGCCCTGGGAGATTTGTTCCCTTCAACACTCTTGTCCTCTCAACTTGATTTTTACGTCTAGCTGTGTGCCAGTTTTCTGTGCCACCTCCAGGCACTAGTGTCTGAGGTGGGAGCCCGCAGGAGTCCCAGCGCTCATCCCAGGCAGGAAAGGCTCCACAGTACCTGAGTGCTCTGGGCAGACAAGGTCCCGAGGGCAGCTCCATCTCAGCACCACGTCAGTCTCATCTCTCTGGGGATGAGACCTCGTTACTGCATCTGATTTACTTCTGTGGGGTGGGTGATGAAGGCACAGTGAATCGCTCAGGCTTGGTCACATCATAGAAACAAGATGCCTTTAGTAAGACAGCAGACCAGACTTTCAGACCAAAGCAGCAGAAGGTCGCAAGAGCAACAGAATTTTGGCTATTGCTTTCTGTCAAGTCTGCGGTGTGCCCTTAACTTAAGGATATGAATATGCACGTTTTGGATACTGCACAAGACAAGGATGATACTTGCATAATCAAATTAAAATTATGATGGGGTGTTATCAACTTTCTGTAGAGGTTCTACATAGTTAATACTTGACTCAGTGCAACCCCATTGTGTGGAGGGGGATATTAAGCAAGGCTAATTTTGTCCTGAAATTCAGAATACTCTGGAAAGAATCCATTTTTGGTCATAGGTGTAAATGTTTGAGTATACATCCCACTAGCTCCTTCCATACAAAATGAGCCATGATCATATTACTGTAAAATTGTTTATGTTGTGATGAGGGGGTGTGTGCATATGTACTGTCAGGACAATTTAACCCTGTATGAACATCTACACAATCATAAACTTTTTCCATCAAAATAAAGTAGGGTTTACTGTTTTAACCTGGTGCAGATTTATCAGGGGATGCTATCGGTCCTGTAGCCTTATCCCTTTTTACCCATTAGAACCAGGCAAAACCATTGCAAGCTCCCATGTCCTGTGATGTGGTCAGAGAGGGGCTGTGTCTGTTCCAGGTTACTGTCTCATAAGGTTTTTTTAATTGTCAGGGGGAAAAAAAAGTTTCCTCAGTTATTTTTTCCATGTCTTTAGTAACTAGCAAAACCCCTGTGTTCCTACTACCTATTGCACGCACCTAATGATATGTCTGTCGTTTTGGGTTTTTTGCATCTTCTCTCTTCCAGTTCTTCATGTTTATTTTGTTAATCTTCCTGGCGGAGCTTTCAGCTGCAATCCTGGCTTTTATCTTCAGAGAAAATGTAAGTATCCTGTGGTGGGCAAACTCTGAACCCCAGTGGGATTGTACCCAGCTGGAGCATGGTGTTAGGTGGTGGCTGATTCGTTTGTAGAGCGACTGTTTGTTTCAAATACCAACAAACCTGCTTCATTACTACCCTCATTCTGCAGAACTACCAGCAAGCCAGTGAATTTTAACTAACCTGGCGTGTGCAGGGTGGATGGTTTATGTACACAGGAGATATACACTGGGGGACTACTTAAATCCTGAAGTTTTTAGAGTCTTCCTGATTGTTTTGCAGCCAAACCAGCTGCACATTCCACCAGAGAGAAGTTTTATAATAAAGTCACACTAAGGTTAAAAGCAAATCTTTTCTTTTTTCAATATAGCATGTGTTTAATATTAATATTAATAGTGAAACCTCCTGTTTTCCCAACAGAGCCAATACTTGCTCTGCAGTGCAAAAAATCTCTTGTGCATCTTCTAATCATATTCCTTCTTGAATTTTCCTCTCAATGCTGCTTGTAAGTTATCCCTCCTGACCTGCCCTGAGCAAGTGTCCTCATGTCCCATTTTGAGTCCCATCATAGAATCATAGAATGGTTTAGGTTGGAAAGGACCTTGAAGATCATCGGGTTCCAACCTCCCTGCTATGGACAGGGACACCTCCCACTAGACCAGGTTGCCCAAGGCCATGTCCAGCCTGGCCTTGAATACCTCCAGGGATGGGGCCTCAACAACCTCTCTGGGCAACCAGTTACAGTGCCTTACAACCCTCAAAGTGAAAAACTTCTTCCTAATGTTTAATCTAAACCTGCCCTCTTCCAGTTTATATCCATTCCCCCTCATCCTGTCACTACATGCCCTAGTAAAAAGTCCTTCCCAATCAACAGATCCCTTGCATACTGCTCTGCTTACAAGATTGTGGTCCGTCTCTCCAGAGCTTCATATGATGTAGCTTTTCTCCACTCTGCTGCTATGCATATTATTATATGGCCATCATTCCTTCCCTACGCTACTAGTAAGCTTCTGCTCCACTAGTAGTAAGCACAGTCTCGTTTGTTTCTCTAACCAGCAAGGGTTTGTGAATATTTTTTCATGTTCCCACATGTGCAAAGAAGAGCCTGACTGAACTAGGTCCAGCCTTCTCAAGTCAGCCCATCTTCGAAATGCAACTCTGAGTGATGACTGTGAAAAAACATTGGCCAGTAGAGGTGCTCACTAGTGACTGTTAGTATTTATTTTGTTTATTTGGCCTCTGCCAGTAGTACGAGAACAGACAGTACATTCCCTGTACTCAATGTGACAGAAATGTGGCATGAGCATAGAAGGGCCATGTATAATGATGATTTTCTTAAGCCAGAATATACTTTTAATTTTATTCATATAAAAAGATTTTGATAAGCAAAGAATCAAAACTTAGGAAGCTCACAGCAAGACAGTGTGGTGTTTGTGCAGTAGGATGGTCTTGGGGGGAGGTAGTGAGAGGACTTTTTTCCCCCTTTACAAGCTGGTGGTCTTTTGTCTTTGCCTCAGATCTGAAGGCAGTGGGGAAGGGACGGCACTCTGTACACAGAGTGGGTGCCCTGTTCCAGCTTAGTCTTTGAGACTCTGCCCTCCTGGGAAGAGCTACCGCTCCATAAATAGGTTGCAGCATGGGGGGTCTGGTGTGCTCTGGTCATTACAGCTCTGCTGTTAGCAGTTTTTAGAGAATTCCTTTGGTTCAACACAAGCAGCAAGACCGCACACGTAGAAACTGCCCTGAAGACCCAGGTAGAGGCTTCACGACAGAGAGGGAGTGCGATCCCTGGTGAGCTGCCGGCAGCTGACTGCTCCCATCTCCTGCCTTCCCTGTGGGGAACTGGTAAAAGAAGAAACTTAGAGAGGCTCTCTGCGAGTCCCGTGTGGGGGGTGACTGCAGGGCTGGCTGTGTCCTCTTCCCTCCACCATGAGGAGCCTGCTTACATCGTGCTTCTGGGCAAAGCATCGGTACCTTCCACTCCCGTGAAAGTTGTGGGACATGTGAGGATATGTTACCTCGCAAGATAAGGTCGCAGTGGTTATTATACACTTCCGTGGCATCTGGCGGTGTTTTGTGAGATAAAACTTGAAGGGGAACAAACTTCTATCTCTCCTGAGCTTGTCTCCTTGTTTGCATCACCAGCTTCCCACTCTGTCAGAATGAAAGGGAATGAAGAATGTCAGATCCCAACATAGCTGGAGATGGCTCCATGCAGAAGTTAAACTCAGTCTGCAGATTCTTGTGGTTTGTTCTGTCCTCGGGTTTCTTCTGAAATAAACCCAAACAAACCAATCTTGTTTTGCTGGTGCTATATATTTTGGTGGTAGTTCCTCTGGTTTGGTAACTATTGTGGCTAGTTTTGCTGTCATCTTTGGGTTAGGGTGAGGCTTGATGGCTGGTCAGGGTGTCCATGGGGACAGGGATGATCTTTCAGTGAACCCCTGTCAGGAAGAATTCTTCACAGTAGCAATTTAAGGTCAGGTTCAGATGTGCTTTTCTCTTCCCTGCGAAACAAGGTCCTTTCAAGACATGTGGTGGTAAACGTACATTTAGGCAACCTACATTTCTTGGAAACTTACTCAGTGGGTTTCTGTGATGGTCATTGGACCAGTCTCCATATGGCTGTGGCCTCATTGGTTGCATAAAATGAGACAAAAGAGAAAGATACACTCTTATCTGTTTGCTTTCCAGATAATGTTCAGTGATGTTCAGTGCAGGTTTCTCTTGTATAGTGTGTTACATTCAAACTAGCTCCCAAACACTCAGCAGAGTTAAATTATTAATAGCTGAGGGAGTGAAAGAAATTAAGAGACAAAAATAAGGGAGAAAAGAGATGTTTTCTGCTGAGATTTGACATGAGAGGAAGAGTCAGTGAAGCAGAGTGTGGTGGTGGGGTGAGTGAATGTAGTATTAGCAACGATGAACCGCTGTAATCTGCAAGTCGGGCTGGATTCCCAAAGAACTGCTTAGAAGCAGCTAGGGGAGTACCAGAGTTTCTTTTCCTTTGTGAAAGGGGTTTTGGAGGTTTGAGAACCCTTGTCATCTAGAAGACACTCCATGAAATAGTGTCTTCCATGAACAATAGAGAAAAGCTGTGGAAGACTGCTCTGACTGATTCATTTCAGGAATTGCTCTTTATATTCCCTTCAGAGGTCTGGATGGGAAAAACCCTGGAGGGATATTTGACTCTTTTTCTTAGTGAATTGTCTTAGCAAGCAAGCAAGCGGCATGGTAGGAACAGATTAGCTCAGTGGCACGGCTCTGGACAGAGTCAGGACGTTTGGATTTTTAGCCGTAGTTCTGACACTTAACAGACAAGTCACTTTAGTTCCTGATACCTCTGTTTCCTCAGAATAAGTCAAAAACTAAAGAATATGCACTGTCCATCCCTCAGTTAGGAAACTGGAGTCTCTTAGGTGGAAGGCGCTGTGGAAGAGAGAAGTGCAGGACTGGTGGCTGTACCCACAGTACAAGCACTGTAGTGTGTCAGAAACGTTAGGATGCTCCCGGCAGATGCGGATGGACAGGAGTGTTCCCTGTTTTGCAAGCAGGCTCTATGAAGCCAGCTTCTTGCACAGCATTCAGTATTCCTTGACACAACGCTGCACAAGAAGGCTGTGACCTTCCTGGCCAGTGCCACCTCACCAGTGCTGTGCAGAAATAACCTCTTTTTCGTAAGTCCCCTTCATCTGGCTGTAGTCATCCCAGCCAAGCTATTTTTTGAACCAGTTTGACAAAAAAAAGTCCCTCTTCATTCACTGGCATGTAAATATATGCATGCATGTGCTTTTTCTGTATTGCAGGCGTTCCCTCCAGAACAGGTAGAAAAAAACCACAGCTGAATGGCTCTTCATTGTCCACGACTGTGGCTGATAGAACTGTGTTGTCAGAAGTGTGTGCAAAGATCTGGTTTTATTAGTAGGTCCTTTGCTCCCTTTTGAATAGTTCTTGCCATGGTACTCCACTGTGCATCGACCCCATCAGTGCCATTACTAGCTTCAGTGAGATTGGGGACTGTGTCCATGTGAGTAGGACTGTCTTACTGACTTTTATCTTCCTTTGTCAGCAATTTTTTAAAAGAAGAAAGATGCTTCTGCTGATAGATTATTTTTTTTTTACTTTTTTTTCTCAGCCCCACCTCCCCCCATTTTTCTGAACTTCAGATGCTCAGGACAAATAGTTTAAGAGCAACAAAGTGGAATCAGTTATTTTCCTGGCAAACTTAACCTTCCAGCACTAGGTTTTGTTTTAGGCCAAGTCTCGTAAAAATCGCACACAAACTCTGAACAATTTCCTGTGGGGTCGCTGCTGTCAAAATAAAGAGTGAAACCTTTTGTGTTAGACCCCGCCAAAGGCAGCCGGCTGGGATTATTACCAAAGGTAATATCAGTTTCAAAGTCCGCACTTCAGAAACAGGCAAGCATCAAAAAAAACGTGCTGCTGTCTCTGCAGGGCAGGATGCTGCGTGGATAAAGTACTTAGAGAAAGGGAAGGGAAGGAGAACACTGAGGAGATATTTCAGCATCTTCTAACCCGACCTTCCTCCAGTGCACTAAATTCCCAGAGGAAAATGCCATGTCCTCTGGTATTTTTAATATTCAAAAGCAAGAAATTAGTTAATATCTGTCTCATAAAAGTGACTTAGGTACTTAGCAGCATATCTAATTGAAAGGTAGTGAGATTGAGCTACCTGCATCATTCAAGTCTTTGCAGCAAAGTTTAACCCATTATTGATTTAGTCATTAATTTTGGCCTTAGTTTGTATTTGTAAAAGAGAAGATATTAAGTGGTATTTGGGGGTCTTTAAAAGAGTCACCACTGCTGCCTTTTTTTTTTCTTCTTCTTAAATTTTGTGATACGGTTACAAAGGAATCAATTTTGTACTTGTGCTTTTGTGCCCATCCTGTACATCTCATACATATGTATGCGTATGTGCGATATTTCACATTGCATACCAAGAACCCGAAACCAACTTGTAGCAGTGTATGTTACTGCATCTGCAGTGCTGTATGAACAACAGGGAGAAAAAAAAAAAGAGGGGTGTGTGTCTTTTTCAGGCAGCTTAATTCCTGATCCTGCAAGTATGCAACGCTAGAGCAGTGCTGTATCCATCCCAGTCCAACCCTCTTCCCTGAGGCTTTGCAGTGGCAGAGTGATTTTGCCTGTGTGCATCACAAAGCACAAGCTATTTTGGAGAAGGGACCACACAAGTCAAGGCCCTGTTGAGAACCTGAAAAGGGGATTCCTTGAAGTTTTCATCCTGAAGTGATAGAAGGGCAGCAAGATTGAATCGGGGTGTTCAGTTTAACAGGACTATTAAGTTTGCATATTTACTAGTCCTCCAGAGAGCAATCCTAAGTAAATGTAATTTCAAGGTGTCTAGCTTTTTGAGAAGACTCTGAGCCAAAATGTTCCTTCAGTTTTTCTGTTTTACCCTAAATGTAAACAGGAGTAAATGAAATTCCATTCATTTATATTGTTGACCTTAGGAAAAATGTTTAAAGTATCTAAACACTGGAAATAAAAAGAAGATTTTTTTTCTTCATGCATGTGGGTTAGTTTAGGTAATCTAAAGCACTGTCAGGAAAATGATCTTTTTTTCCAATTCATAAGTTGACTTGAACATTTCACATTCATTACATGTTTTTTACTTCCTTTTCATTCCCAGAAAGTTTCATATTAGGGCTTCATTCTGCTTCCTCACACATGGAAGTAAATTCAGAGCAGTTCCCGTGTCATTAGTAGGAAGTTAACTGGTTTAAAATGAAAAGTGAGGGGAAAATCATGCTTTGATTGCATGAAGCAGAGTAAGTTAAACTACTATTTGGGTTTGGATTTGAAGATTTTTCTAAAATCTGTTTTAGTCCCGTTTCAACTTATGAAATGCTTTCAAATACTGCTGAAAATTTAAAAAACAACCAACCTTTAAGTGTAACATTATCTTACAAGTACAGATATAATTTAGTCCATGATTTTTAATGCGCAACAGTTTTATTCAACAGGTACCATTCACCCTGGATACAGATATGGTTCAGCCAGTGGCTTTTCCTGTGTTTGTTCTCTGAGTTTTGCAAAAAAAAAAGAACAAAACCAAAAGGAGGAACTTCTTTACTTTGAGGGTGGCAGCGCACTGGCACAGGCTGCCCAGAGAGGCTGTGGAGTCTCCCACACCGGAGACATTCAAAACCCGCCTGGACGCTGTCCTGTGCAACCTGCTGTAGGTGACCCTGCTCTGGCAGGGAGGGTGGACTAGATGATCTCCAGAGGTCCATTCCAAACCCTACCATTCTGTGATTCTGGGAAAACAATGAAACAACCCCCGGCATTCACAGAAGGGACCTTTGGGAAGTCTTGGGAAAGGTGTTGGCAGCAGCCTTTACACTTCCATCTGTCTGTGCGTTTCAGCTGACCAGAGAGTTTTTCACCAAGGAGCTGAAGAAGCATTACCTGAGGAACAACGACACAGATGTCTTCTCTTCCACCTGGAACTCTGTTATGATCACAGTAAGTCAGGCCGTGCCAGTCCCATGCTGTCCATGGTCAGCAGCCATCAATACGGTGTTCAGCACCCTCAGCTCACCCAGGGTCAGCCTGCTTCAACTGTCCTGTCGCATCAAGCATAGCACCCGGGTTTGTGGTGGTGGTGGGAGGGAGATGAGATGGCAGCCGGTCTTTCTCAGAGTGAGTTGCCATCGGTCCTGAGAGAGACGCTCCCAGTGACTGCGTCAGCCTTTGTGGTTTGCCAAAGCCAGATGTGACCTGACTGGGTACCCCCGGCTTTCCAACAGTGGTCACAGAAAGCCGTGGAGCTGTCTGCAACTGAATATCGCTGCGTTTACCCTGGACCTTTCACCTTTCAGACTACTTCAGAAGTATTCCCAGCCCAGAGCAGCCACAAACTGGTGCTAACTAATGGCTTTTTGTTAGCTCTTGTGAAATGAGTTTGTAGGTGGCAAATTAGGCAGGAGTGTGCCTAATGATATATTTTCAGTGTAGACATATTAGCTGTCAAAATTGACTTTGTTATTACAATCCTAATCAGGCAGGTTAAAGATCGACTGTCATTGGAATTGGAGTTGTTATTATCTGCTACAAAAAGTTCTGAGTGTGTGTGTGTGTGTACAGATGTGAACTTAGTGCTCAGTATTTCTCTTCAGGAGTGAAGAGCAGGATGTCAGGCTCTGCAGATGAAAAGTCAATTTTAATCTTAAAAGAAAAAAGATGATTGCTGCCCTTCATGCTGATTCAGGACTTTAATAAAGACATTTCCTTTTGCTGACTGAAAGGAGACAGAGTCAGAGTATGACTTGAATCCTTAAAAAGGACCTGACTTGAATCCTAAAAAGGTACCCTACTTGAATCACCTAGCAGTGCCTTTGAGCAGCAGCAATCCTGACCATTAGCTATGGGGAGAACGGGCGGTCAGGAGCCTGGATTGTACTGCTGGCTCCCTTACAGACTTGCTGGGTGATCTCGAGCAAGTCATTCTGGATGTGCTCCAAAGCCCTGTGTAGCTCGTGGCAATATTCCCAGTGGTACCTCAGAGTCTACAGTATGACATGGGAACAGTGGAACTTTATAAAAAGGCTTTGATGAAACAGAAGCTCCAAGGTACAACCACAACTCACTTCTTTGGAAACAACAGTTGTTTTGTCTCTGCTTTGACTAAAGCTTTGATCCCTACAAGAATAGGTCTTTGGTAGATGTCTCGTATCTGTTTTCAGGGCAAAGTGTCAACTCTGTCCTCCTTTCTTCTCTGTGCCTCTCTCTCCCCAGTTTGCCTGCTGTGGAGTGAATGGACCAGAAGATTTTGAAGCTGTCCCTCCTCTTCCACACTCCTCTTTGGAAACGGTCACACCTGAGGCTTGTTGCCAGCGAGAACTCCAGAGCCGGGAAGGGATGATTGTCAACAAGGAAGCCTGCCTCATGGGCATCGAGAGGTTCCAGAACCGACAGGTAAGGAAAGCCGAATGCCAGGAAAAGAAGTTTCACAGCAGGCAGAGAGATGGCTGGGGTGGTCTTGGGTAACTAGTAAAGTTGGAAGGTCGTGCCATTCTGACTGTAGCTCACATCCTAATGACACTTCTGCTGACAGCTTTTGAAGTCATGGCGTATTTTGAAAATCTCCTTTTGTTGCGTGCACTGCTAAGTCCACGTTGTGCTGTATCAGCAGTAATATGAAGATTTTCCCAAGGGACTGAGAGGTGGAGTGGAAATTTACATCAAGTTTTATTGCATTTCTGAAAGTTAGTACTATCTCTGAGAAGTTAATTTGCAAGCCAGCACAGGTCAGCGAGGATGGGATGGAGTTGGCTCTTATTGGCTGTGGTAGTGGCTCCAGTTCAGTTCACAAAGACTCCTCATCAACAACATATGCAACCGAGAGATCAAGAGTTAAACAGCCACGGAAAACCATGGCTGTTTTCCAAGGAAGAGAAGTGTTGGAAAGCTGTATTTTTCTGCTCTTTAACTCTTTACAGTAGAAAAAAAGGCATTTCTTTTACCAGGCCTCTTGACTTGGCAGTTTTTCCCAATACTAGACTGGAACAAGACAGTTCAGCATAGCGTCATTGACACTGATGCTACAGTCGTGTTTCCTTACATTGTCACCAAGATGTGAAGTTCAAGAAACTTTCTCACGAGGCTCCTGACTGCGTTCACCTGAGCATTAATAAGCCAGCTGAGCTCTGTACTGACCATGTGTACAAGCCTCCTTTTCTCTCCAGACTAAGCAGTGGTCCTCTTTTCAGCACTTGGTAGCAGATTGTGAAAGAGAGTAAAGGAGCTCGGAAGCAGCGTGTGAGCTGTTCCTTGTCTGGCAGCTGGAGATGGTTGGCAAAAGCACGCTGGGTGAGAGATCATAGCAGACAGCACCGTACTGCTTCTGCCAGGTCTCCTTGCTGTGAAAAGATGGGAAAG